ATCGGATGAAAAATAACAAAGTTGATTTCTGAGGGGGGGGGGGGGGGAGGCTTAAATTTATTGAGAATTCATTCAAAAAAAAGAAACCTTTAAGTTGGATTCTTAAGTATATATCGTTACTACGACTATTTTTATAATTTTATGAATATTGTTGTATTTTTACTTTAGTGCAGTTTTTGTTTAAATATTGTTGTTTTTCCTTTTTTTGTTCAAAATCATGTTTCTTTCGATAAAAAATAAAATTTTTAAAAGCATTCATTGTTAGCATTTTCTAATCCATGTATGTTGTTTTTTTATGTTGGTTCAGATTTTCCTCATTTCCTGTTGTTTAGTCTTGTTGAACATGTTGAAAACATAACATGCTAAATTATCATCACCTCTTCCTGTTTTTCACTTCACTTCAACTGAAATAACATCGAAATCGATTCACATCACAATTTCTAATTGGAATACTAGCAGTTATGAACCCTCTCAAGCATGTTTTTAATTTTTATGCTATAAATTTTTATGTTATTTTCTTTCCTAGTTCGAAGTAAATATTCTTCTGCGTTCGCTCTTAAGGTATAATAAGTTCATCTAAATCTTGATTTTTTCCTCATTTTCTTGATCATTTGGATGACTTTTATAAACTATTAGTTGATAAAAAGTTATTTCTTTTAAATAAAATACTTTCATATCTTTAGAGACGATACATGATGAGAATGTATTGTATAGCATACATATAACGACGATTATTGCTACTAGTCATATCAATACCATTCGAAATTTGCAGAAAAGCTCGATAGATAAAATATCATAAGATGCAGAATAGTTTCTAAGGGATGGCTAAAAAGCTAAATCTCTAGTGTTCTAGCGCCTACAAATCAGGATATAAAATTTGCTCTCACTACATGTAATCATAGAATGAGCGATCCTCCATCAAATTTATGGAAAGCTTCCAGCAGTATTTTTTTGTCAAGTCATTCTTCTTCCAATTATCATTGACTTGACTAAGTTGTTGTCACACGAACTAGAGTGTGGTGAATCAATCGATGCATACTCTATTTTAATGGTTGTTTTGTCAGTGACTTTTCTAGAACTGCTATGTGAGAAAGAGGATTAATTAAAACTTTCTTGAAATTTCAACAATATATTCCATTCGTTCACAAATAACTTTCTTCGTTAATTATCCTAGATCAGTATCTTGCACAAAGTATTCGTTAGTTATATATTTTATTTTATAAACATCAATGATTATTATTGGATTCAGATCGATGCAGGATCATGGACATTGATTAAAGATTTTGCACAGTTGATATTCTTGTTAAAAATTTGATACAGGAACCGATCTATTGTTGCTTTATTGAGCAAGTATTCGAATTTTTTAGTAACTCATCAAGAAAACTTGAATCTTTGCATGGTCTTCGCATAGTTTCGGGAAAAGATGTGTATTATTCGTTTTCATGTGATATCAAAACGACAGAAGTATTAACCTTGAAAATCGTATCTTTTCTTCATTTCACAACTCTGTCTTTCTCTCCCAAAAAAATTCTAACTAAATTACAGAACGCCACCGCATTATCAGTTTGTTTTTATATTTCCGTAGCAGTGTTTGTAGATGGATACCATTAGCCTTTCAAGCTCTAAAAATATAACTATTGTATTCGATTCTGGAAAAACAATGTTCCAAGTCTTTCGTAATTATTTCAATAAACTCTATTCTAAAATTGAATAATACATAAACAGATATCTATTCGATTCTTCGATTTGAAGTCAGCTAAGAAATATAACACAGAAAGAGCCGTATTAAATTATTGGAAAAACACTTCAAGAGTCACACATATTTCCCAATCCAATTCACAGTTGATCTAGCCCGGAGTGTGGGCGTGGATAAGACTCACCAGTAATCCTAGGTTCACACTTGGAAACTTTTTACAATAATTTAAAAATACAAAGAAAAGAAAAATAAACATGAATATCAATGAAAACATTGTCAAACAGCGATGAATTGATCGTCGACGAAAACGATGAAAATGATCATCTCATCAGCTATGATGTCGTCATACACCGAACCGATGTTGTTGTAGGAAGTAACCAAACTAGGATGATTCAGGAACAAAGCTGTTTCTCTTATTTTAAGTGCTTCTTCATAAAACTCAAATTTTCTCGAGTAGTCACCCATGTTGTTATACACAACAACGATGTTGTTGTAGGAAATAGTGGAGTCGGGATGATTCGGAGGAACAGTTCTTTCGTCTATTTTGAGTGTTTTTCGGTAAAATTCAAGTGCTTTCGAGTAGTCGCCTATGTTGTTATACGCAAGACCGATGTTGTTGTAGGAAATAGTGGAGTCGGAATGATTCGGAGGAACAGTTTTTTCGTCTATTTTGAGTGTTTTTCTGTAAAATTCAAGTGCTTTCGAGTAGTTGCCCATGTTGTTATACACAACAACGATGTTGTTGTAGGAAATAGTGGAGTCGAGACGATTCGGAGGAATAGTTTTTTCGTCTATTTTGAGTGTTTTTCGGTAAAATTCAAGTGCTTTCGAGTAGTCGCCCATGTTGTTATACGCAAGACCGATGTTGTTGTAGGAAATAGTGGAGTCGGGATGATTCGGAGGAACAGTTTTTTCGTCTATTTTGAGTATTTTTCGGTAAAATTCAAGTGCTTTCGAGTAGTCGCCCATGTTGTTATACACAACAACGATGTTGTTGTAGGAAATAGTGGAGTCGGGATGATTCGGAGGAACAGTTCTTTTGTCTATTTTGAATGTTCTTCGATAAAACTCACGTGCTTTGGAGTAGTCACCCATGTTGTTATACGCAAGACCGATGGTGCTGTGGATAGAAGCAAATGAAGGATGATCTTTTG